TGAGATCAAGACTTGCATGCTCTTCTGACTGAGCCAGCCAGGCACCCCTGGGAATATTTTTTTAATTATTTTTATTTATTATTATTATTATTATTATTATTATTTTTGCCTTCTGTTGGGGCTGGTTTGTAGACCCGAGAATATTTTTATAACCTATCTTTATAACCCTTTTTTTTAGTTACCAGCTTTCCCTCATTTCCGTATCACTGGCAGTGAGTTTGTCTTCCTTCATTTAAAGTAGTCTGTATTTGGTGAAAGAAAGTTTTGTTTGGGATTTCATGGTATTTTCAGTGTGGAGGCACTTTTACCTAAATTCCTTGAGTAGATCTATTATGGCTTCTAGTAATAAACTTTCTCCTGTTAGAAAACTGGAATCATTTTGTGATTCTGTATTGCATCCTTGTGTAGACAGCAGCTGTTTTTACGTTTATTAGTGTTGAATATTTCTCAGGTTCATTTACTGTCAGCATGTTTCTTTATGATTCTTCATTTTTGTAAGAGCTGTGTAATCCATTCTAAGAGGCCTGAGCCTCTCTGAATTTGACCCTTCCAAAGCTGTGTCCATACTTTTATAAGCATTCTAGATAACTTCTAGAATTCCCTAATGTATTCTGAAATGAGCAATAACAACATTAAGGCATATGAAAGTGTCAGAAGTGAGCTGAGGTAGTATGTAGGTACTGCAGTTTTACCTGCAAAATGTAGGCAATGGTAATTGCCTTAGAATTCTTTTTCTTTTTTTGCCTTAGTGGAAGTTGCAGCAAATTTAAATACCAAAGTAATTTTTCTTAAGCATTAGATGCAATAAATTATGTATCCATGCTGGAAATCCAAATCCATGCTGGGGAAATTTCTGGACGTGAAATAAGGTTTTATTGACCACAGATTGAGCTATATTGTATCTCAGTGACCACTGCAAACCTTTGCAGTAAGTGAAAAACTTAAGTTTGGTTCAATAACTTCTCCTTGGCTTCTGATACTTAATCGCCTCATGTGTCCTCTGTATTCTTTTTTGAACTTAAAAATATGTTGTTTGAGAATCTGTTATTTCATGTATGTATTTCATCTTCCCAGTTAGATGACAAACTCTTAAGGGAGAATTTGTGGAGTGCTAATTTCTGTGATATCTCCTTTATCTAATACTAGTGTGCAATGATTAATTTTTTTCTTAACATTTTATTTTACTCTTGTTCTAGACTTATTTGACAAATACTTAAGTGTTACTTTTGCAACAAGTGTTATAATAACAAATAATGTTATCATAACAAATGTGTGTTACTTTTCAATAAACAGGAATAAAATGTTGTGTATTGTTTATTTTTAATAAAGACAAAGATATTTGGATTGGTAATAACTACTCTTTCCATTCAATAATGGATAGTAGCCAATAAAAGTAAAAAAGGAGACATAAGCTGCTTTATCCCTCCAAAAATAAATGGGGAATGTTACTTTCTTACTATTTAACAGAAAAGTCATAATGTCGTTATAAATAGGGGCAGAATACTTGCTGGTAAGTTTGCAGATGGCCCTTTTAAAACATGAGACTACGAACAGAAGAGAGTTCTTCATCTTAACAACTCTTAACTGTCCCTGAAATTAAGTGATTTTCTTTTCTCCATGGCTAATCTTTCCACTTATTCTCTGATCCCATCCTCTCTTGAAACTTTGCTCTTTTCAATTGACCCCTTTCTCTGCCTACAAAAATGTTTGTCTTCTGTATCCAGAAACAACAAAACTTCACTGCATTCTGCCATTAAGCCTTTTCATACATTTATTTCTAAAATTTCTAAAGCAACAGCTTATACTCAAAGATTCTACTTCCTTTATCGACTCTTGTGAGGTTATATACTGGCCTCTTGCATTACTATTTTGGAATTGCTCAAATTGCCAAATCTATTGGCCTACTTTAGTTCCCTTTTCACTGGGCTTCATTATTTTAAAACTGTTCACAATGTCTTTATTAAAACTTTACCTTGGTACTTTTTCCTAGTTCTTCATTATCGTGTCCATACCTACAAAACAACTAGAGCTTTATTTTTTTTAAATACTACATTTAAAAAAACTTTTTTTTAAATGTTTATTTATTCTTGAGACAGAGACAGAGCGTGAACAGGGGAGGGGCAGAGAGAGAGGGAGACACAGAATCTGAAACAGGCTCCAGGCTCTGGGCTGTCAGCACAGAGCCCAATGCGGGGCTCGAACCCACGAACTGTGAGATCATGACCTGAGCTGAAGTCAGACACTTAACCGACTGAGCCACCCAGGCACCCCTAAATATTACATTTTTAAATGTTAATACTTGAACAGTGATAGGCTAACATCATTAAATCTATCCACAGTCTCCTATATAAACCTATCAGTAATTTGAAGTAGAAACAAGCAGATGTTTTATTAGAACTATTAAACTTTGTAAACTAGTGGCTTTAAATTTCAAATGTATTTTTTTATTTGCTAACATGCTTACAAACATGAAATTACTGTAAGACGTGAGATGATTTATTAAATGCATGTACTGTTGTAAATTTGGCTACTTGATTGTCTTTATAACTATCCCAACTTAGGTCTTGACTACTAACCTTTCTGCAAGCTGTGAGGACAAAACTCAAGAGATAGGTATAGCTAAAGCATAATCTCCAGTCTCTTAAAGTTTTAGTTTAAGTCTTTGGGTCTATTTTAGCTTTAGAAACAGGGCAGTCTTTTCAGATTTTAATCTTCTCAAGCTTAAAAGTAAATGAATTCTTTTTTTTCTTTTATAATTTATTTATTTTGGGGGAGAGAGAGAGAGAGAGACAGAGAATCCCAAGCAGGCTCTGCACCGTCAGTGCAGAGCCTGATGTGGGGCTTGAACAACCAAACCATGAGATCATGACCTGAGCCAAAATGAAGAGTGGGATGCTTAACCAGCTGAGCCACCCAGGCACCCCAAAAGTAAATGAATTCTTAAGTAAAATGTCGGTAGCATCTGTTGGCTTGTCTTGTATTTGAAATTGTTAGGCCAGTATATTGATTTTCTAAGAACATTGTTACTTAACCTAGGTATCTTACATTTTAGTAGACGCATAGCAATTATGTTTAAGTGCTTGGCACATATTAACTACTTTGAGTGGATACTGGTGCTCATTAAAAGCAGTATGATTTGTAAGTAGAGTGGATGTGGGGTTTCTAACTTTTTACACAATAAAGGTAAATAAGACTGAATTGAGAAGATGATGTTTGAGCTAAACTTTGGAATGAGTATATGGCAACACATATTCAAAATGTTGGAGAATAAGTGATATAAGGGAAAACAATGAGGAAAGAATCTGGTAAATGAATTTGGAGTAGATTGTGAAAGGGTTGAATGCCATTCCTGTTGATTCTTGCTTTTTCTCCCCATAGGCATTATAGTTTATAAACTTTTTTTTTTTTTTTTTTGTAGCAGAGTTACGAGGTAATTCAATCTGTATTCTTGAAAAGTAATTCTAGTGGTAGTTTTCAGAATAGATAGAAAGGAAGAGATTGAAGTCAGAGTCCTCAATTATATGAAATACTTCTGACTTTTAACCTTTCAGGCACATAGTAGGATTTTACTTCTCCATCATGTTTTAAGTTAGCCTGAACGTGATTTTGCTTTGACCAATGGAATGTGAGTTGGAAATTAATAGGTCACTTTTATGTGGAAGCTTTAAGTATGATTTGCCTGTCCTGGTAATCAAGGAAGCATGGAGATCTTTGTTAGCTGGGTCCCTGAGAGGGAATGAAAAACCTGCAAGTCAGAAATCCTGGACTTTTGTGTGAAATGTCCTAATTATTTTGGTCTCTGGTTTTTGTTTTAAGAAACATGATGTAGGCCAAACTAAGCACGTATGCAGACCTGTGTTGCCTATAAGTAAGTTATCAGTTGGTATCTTTTCTGATACAGGCCCTTAGTGATTTCCACATGCAAAAATAATGGACAATACTATAGATGAATGATCAGAGGAGGCTTTCTGAAAGTGGTGAGATGTAAGCTGAATTTTGAAGGAGTATTTCAGGTAGCGTGATTTAAACAAAATAAGTTCCTGAATTGGATGTGTTCTAGTGTATTTGTTATAACTCTCAAATCCATGCAGTGTATGGCTTTTGTATACATAACTAATAACGAGTTTTCTGTTTCCATGGCTCTTTGAGTAGAAATGTTTGTTCACTTGTTTGTCTTTTGAATTTTGGTCTAATGTTTTATAGAAAGGAT